GGGTGTGTCAAGAAGCGATTCAACTTAAAGCTCAAGCTTGTGGTTGTAGGTTCAGGAAAAGTTTTATACTGTAACAGGGTGGCGCAAATGCTGACCTTACCTTTCTTCTTTGGTGTGTGTTGCAGAAACCGTTAAGCTGCACCGGAAAGGTGAACTTCAACCATTGCTCTCTGAAGCTAGTACTTCCAGAAAACTGGAGAGCTAAGCTCTCTTTGTCAGCAGCTAAAGACTATCCCTTGTTTGCCCTTTGTCATCTCTTCACATTGTTTTTTTATATTTAAGCTTGATCATTGTTGTCACAGTGAAAACCATAATAGTAGCTTTGATCCCATAGTTTTATTTCTTTTTCTACTTTGCCAACTGCTTTGCCTATAGGACAATAATGTTCTTGTGATATGTCATTTTTCTCTGCCAAAAAGAAGAAAGTTTATACTCCAAACAAAGTTTTTTCTGTTCTTCATTGGGACTTTTAATTTGAAACTAGTTCATTCGTGCATAATATACTATTCCTCCTGTCTAATTTTTTTTTTATGTTTTGACTTTTTTAGTGAAACAGTGATACTCTTTGGTCATAAATTATTAGCAAACTATATTGAACTGTAATATAAATTAAACATCATTGGGTTCATCTTAGGATAGTTTTGATATATCAAATTTTCATAACATTTATTTATTTAGATTATGTTTAATTTATAGTCAAAGAGTGTCACTGTTTGATTAGAAAAATCAAAACAAGAAATATTTTTTGGACTAGAGGAAGTAATATTTAGTCTCTTCTGAAATACAGAAATTTTTTCTTCTGTCTCACAAAAAAAACTTTACTAAAATGAAAACAATTATCATTGGTACATTCATTACTACTCAAAAACATTCATTTTGTACAATTGTTTCCTTTTTTTTTTCCTTTGTAAAGAATGCTTATTTCAATTTAAAAAATGATCATTGTACTTTTGAAGTGCCTTGATATTCAAACATTTTTAGGGCTTGTTTGGTGGAAAAAAATCAGATACGAATTTTGATATCTTGATATGTAGGACATGAGGTTTTTAAGATATTGAAATTTGGATATATCATACTTCTTCAACCACATCTTCATATCTCAATGAGAAAGAGTTTAGGATCAATGCATATTTCTTCTTAGTTTTCCTTCATCCCTTCGTCTTCTTCTTTTCACTAATTTTAGAAATCTTATTTATAGGTTCTTGAATCCAAAATTTTAATATCTTCAATTCTTTCTCATTTTCATTGCTTATTTGGATTTTTACCAATCCTTCGGTTAGTTTTTGTTAATTGAAAAAAAGAAAGCATATCGATTTTTTTAAACTCCGTATGTTAATTGGTAATTTGGGGCTAAAAACGGTCGTTCGTATTTTTAAAAGTTATTATCAAATTTAATATGGAAAATGTTATTATCAGTTTGAAACATTTTCCAAATTATCCATCTCTCTAATCTTTTTTTATTAACTTCACCTTGATCATCTACATTCATTTTGGAAAAAAATTTGCTTGATTCGAATCCGTTCCAGATCGCCAATAATACTTGACACTAAAGAAAATAAAAAGCTAAAAATAATTTTGTCGCCACTTTTTTCGTATAGCTTTTTATATTATTTTTTACCATATAACTTTAATTTTTTTAGTTCCAGATCAATATTTATTTATATTAATTTGAAAATAACCTTCATTCAAAATCTTATTTTGAGACTATTGGATATCTCCGAATAAACTACTCCAAATCCCCGTTTTACAGCCCATTAAAATAAACTACCCGTTTCCATTTTTTATCTTCTTCTTCTTCGGTTCTTCTTCACATAAATCTCCGTCAATTTTCTTTCTTCTTTGTCAATTCATCGGTATTAGGTATGTTTCTTCTCCTCTCTTTCATCATCTAATTTTAGAACTATTATAATCAAATTTTTGAATCCGAAAATTTAATGCCTTCATTCCCAATTCCATCACTTGTTTCGATTTTTTATTATTATCAATCTTTTGGTTATTTTCTCTGAATTTGAAAAGGCATGCTAAGTTTATAAATTTAACCGGGTAGAAAATTGAAGCTATTTTTTTTAAGAATCCAACGCGTTAGTCTGCATTTTCTGCTAGGGTTTGCCTATCCGGATTTGAGAAAAGCAATTACTTCTGATTCGGAGAGTTCGAAATCGGAAGAAAAGATTGAAGCAATCACTTGTGATCCATTTTCCCCCGTTTTGAAGTGGAAGAGTTCAGAAATGAAAGAGTGAGAGGGGTTGATCAAAATCTACTCTTGTGTTTTGAATCGGATAGGACCAAGATAGCTTACGATGAAGAAGATGAAGAAGGCGTGTGTCTATTTGCCCCATGAAGTCATCATGCAAATCCTCGGGAGACTCCCTGTGGAGCTGGTGGTGAAATGCACCACCGTTTGCAAGACGTGGCTCGGTATCATCAAGGATCCGTATTTCATTTCGAGCCATCTCGAGGCTGCGGCTCTTCACAATGACCTTCTCCTTCTTCATATCCCTGGCGGGAGTCTAAGAGAGGGTTTTCATTTGTATCGCGACAATGACTCCTTTGAAAGGTATAAGACGCTCTACTTACCCTTCTTGTGTTGTGGGTTTAGGGATTTTAGAGTTGCTGGTACATGTAATGGGCTGATTTGTCTAGCAGATGTGGATGGTGGTTATCACATTATGATTTTGTGGAATCCTTCCATTAAGAAGCATTTCATTTTGCCCAAGCCCGAATTGCCTTTCGAGATCTTTAGTGATTCTACTCTAGGTTTTGGGTTTGATTCGGTATCAAATGACTACAAGGTACTTCTAATTGTGCCTGTGAGCGAAGATGCAGACTTGACGGAGGTTTGGTTGTTTTCCCTAAATAGGCGTTCTTGGACAAGGCTCAGTGAAGTTTCTCCCAAGCATACTTGTTTTGGACTTAGGCAGGCAGCCTTTGTGAAAGGTGCTTTGCATTGGCCTGGATATATGAAGCATGAGCAGCGGTTCACTCACGTGATTATGGCTTTTGATTTAAGCACTGAAAAGTTTCATGTGATAAATTATCCCGACACTTTATTAGATCATGATTTTGTAACCCAAATGACCTTGATTAACTATGATGAGTCCATCGCAGTGGTTACAATGGGGAGCTTCGAAGATTTCGACGACGCCAGGAAACCTGAGTTGTGGGTCATGAAGGAGTACGGTATGGATAATTCCTGGGCGATGGCGTTACATTCAGATGACGAAAAAAACGAGTTGGTTTTTGATTCACACTTTGTGATTGATGTGTTTGGGGTTAGGAAGAATGGAGAGGTTTTATTGAAAGTGAGATGGATGTATAGGTGTGATTACAAGCTAGCTTCATTGGATCTGAACTGCCATCAACAAGAACATCATCATCCGCAGCAGCAGCAGCTAAAGCATCTTGTTGGAATGGGGAAAATTAACGATTGGTTTGTTGGAAGCTTCGTCGAGAGCCTGGTGTTACTTGACAATGGGGAAGAAGATAACAAGAGGGCAGCCAGAATGAAAGTGCAATGACACTAATTAGCACCATCTCTTCTTTTTCTAGCTTACATGTCCTTTGCAATTATATACCCCCCCGTCTCAAAAACTCCTCCGCCCACAAACTTCTTTCCTTTTATATTAAAAAATCACTTTTACCCCTATCAATTCTTAACCTATCTACCACATCATACCTTTCTATTAAAAATCTATCCATCACATCCTACTTTTACCCATTATATCAAAGGTATTTTTGAAAAGTCAACACAAAATATTCCACTCTTAAATTCCCTAAAAGTCAAAATGGGAACATCCTTATGGGACGGAGGTAGTATATATATACAGACTAGCTAGGAGTATATATAGTATTTCTATTTGACTTGTGAAGGAATATATAATGTGCCCTTGTTTGAAGGCTAGTTAATTGTTTTGAATGTTTTTTGGAGCTAATTTCAATTAGTTTTTTTGTCGTATCGTATCGTATAATCTTAAAAACAATCCCGGGGCACTGCCCTCGGACCACTCTACATAGAATTAAACCTTTCCAATTGGTTTTCTGATTTTTGACTGTGCTAATTAATAGGATTTCTTTAGAATATATTTCACGTGTTCTGTCATTCTTACTGCATGTCTGCATGCATTGCTTGATTTCAATTTCTAGCAATTTAACGGCAATCTAACACTTACAAATTTCAGTCAAGTTAGAATTATTATGTATCACAGACAAGATAAAGTTAGATTATTCAAGATAATTTTTCCATTTACCTAAAGCATTTATGTCTAAAGTATTTCTTAATTGTGATAGGTGAATGGAAAATCATCCACCAAATTTGCTGCATGACAAATTAAACCATGCAAGCCTAACAATCCTTTACTTGTTTGTAGTCTCTTTCCTTATATTTTGTCCTTCCAGCTCCAAATTTGCTTCATATATATTTGCTCCTTCGTGCTCCCTATTCCGTAATTACTTTTTGCTATTTTTCCATCAAGATCAGCTCAATCTCTACAATAATGTTAATTAATAATTGCAAAAGTACTAATCTAAGGAAGCATTTCGGGAAAAATAAATTTTAATAAAATTACTATAGATTTTATAAATAAATATGGAGTAATAAATAATTTTAGTACAAAAATGCATTAGGGAGGCGTGTAGTTATCGTTCCCCCAGAAGCCTTGGTCTCCCGAGTGCACAAGGAAAGACACTTTTCTCATTCATTTTTCTTGGATGCCGGGAGACCAAGGCTTTACTACAAGGAAACCTATTCACTAATAAATAAGTTTCTCATGTTGAAAACTTGTTAATTCCTTAAACTTGAATCGAGCTAGATTGACCCAAAAAACTTGGGAAAACTCATGACTGAGCTGCCACACCCATTGTTTGGCTGGCTTGAGCTTTTTTAGTAACTCTCCGATCCATCAATGTAGTATATGTTCAATCTTATAAACTCGGCCTTTTAAGAACATGTGCGAGGCTCGAACATCTTATAGATCTCAATTTAACGTGTTGTCCTAATATGACTCTCAAAAATGCTAGAAGAACCTCAAAATATTGACACTATTTTGGCTCCAAGTACAATACATATACACACAGACAATAAAATTTTGTGAGCGGTTATAAGTTTATTGTTTGCGCATATCAGTGTTGTGCTTAGATCAAAATGGTGTCAATAACTTGGGGTAACCTCCTTATCTATGGCTCGTGGTGTCAAAATAACTTTGGTCATTTTTTGCGTGAGAAACTTAATTTTTGACACTCCATGGGCTACGGCCTACGTGGCAGTGACCCGATCACCCATGGATGTACCTGAGTACCAGATTTTCGAGCTAACTGAGTGCCCATCTGCGACCGGCCGGCCGCCCCTTAACGGCGTTTCGAATGTTAAAGCTGGCCGGAGATTTCCACTCGGGTATGGCCGTCCCCGTCGCGCACTGCTGTGACTCCATCGTCACTGTCAGTCTTCCCCAATTTCGTTCTGACGGTAACCGTCTCCAACCTAACCACCATTTCAGTCGGTGTAAGTTGAACTCCGGCGTTGCAACCGTCCCCGGCTTGACCCTACGCCGCCTCGTAGTCCCGAGGAATTTCCTCGTCATCTGTTTTGCTTCCAATGACTCCGCTCAATCATCCGAAATCAGGTTCTCTCTTTACATCTCGCGAATTTTTTGTGTCCCTATCGTTCCATGTTAAAATTGTTTCGCTTGCTATCTTTTGAGCCTTACTTCCACTCTTGGCTCACATCTCACTGCAATATATAATCATGAATTTGGTGATTTGATTATAGATTATTTAAGAATGGGAGGAGTATAGATCGAATCATTGAAGAGATTCCATCCGCTCCAGAGTTTGTAGAAAGCATATTTAGCACAAGATAGTTGTTCTTTTTGAAAAATATTAGGAAGCATGTGTAATCAAATGATAGCTATTGATATCCAATGATAAACTTGAGCTTCATGTTTGTATCTGTATTCAGGCATATATGTATATACAGAGTATATATTTAACCAGGTTTTCATATGCCAACGAAACACCATTGTATCCGTGTTGATTTAATTTTTTGTTTAGTTCCACAGCCAAGATTAGGAGTGAGGTCCTTTCTCCATTTCGATCTGTTCGTATGTTCTTCTACCTTGCTTTTGTTGCAAGCGGGGCTCTTGGAGGATTTATAGCTACAGCACGGCTTATTGCAGCACTGTCAAATTCATCAAGAGCTGCAGAAGTTCCTGAGATTTTGCAAGGTCTTGCAATAGATATTGGAGCAGGCTCCCTATTTGCCCTTCTGTATTACAGGGAGGATAGAGCTAAAAAGGCTCAACTACTTAAGCTCTCAAGAGAAGAAAGCCTCTCAAATCTAAAGCTTCGCGTGGATGATAAGAAAATTCTTCGTGTTAGTAATTTTAGAGGAATTGCTCGTCTGGTCATTCTTGCCGGTCCTTCCTCTTTCATTTCCGAGTGTTTTAAACTCAGTGAACCATTTACTGACTCCCTTGTAGAAAGAGGGGTGCTTGTTGTTCCATTTTCTACTGATGGAAAGGTGCTTAGTTTTGAGTTTGAGGAGAATGAAGGGATGAAGGAAAAGAATGCTCGGAGAAAAAGGCTATGGCAGCTTTCTCCTGTTTATGTAACTGACTGGACCAAGTAAGTTTACATTTAAGATATACGGAGTAATTGAATACGGTGTGGTTCCTATGATCTGAGAAATCAAAAAAAGATTCTTACTCTTTATTTGTTGTTGGTCATCTCCTCAATTACCAAACATTAGTCATGTTGGAGTTTATTTTATTTTTTATTTTAGAAATAAAAATAAAAAAACAATAAAATAAGATAGAAATGAAAAAAAGTAGTATATGTGGTGTGTGCGGTGAAAGTGAATAGGCATGTATGATTCGCGCGATGGTCGAATGAAAGAAAAAAGTTTTAGGTGATGTGCGTGCATGTGATGTGTTGAAAATGCTTTGTGGTGCGTGAGAAGAAAAAAGAATAGTTGGTGAGTTCTTTGGCTATATAAGCCGCATCCCCATTTTGATGTAATATGCGAGTAAGAGGGCTTCTTAGAGAGAAGAGTGCGGGGAAGAGGGCCAAAGGAGAAGATAGGTTAGGAGAGATGTCTCAAAGAGGTGATACATTCTTGGGTGTTGGGAAAATTTTCAGGGAGCGTGAAGAATATCAATTATTGTATTATTATTACCCCGTATTATGTTATTACACTTCAATTGATATTATAGTGGAAAGTTTTATCCGAGAATATCGTGGTTTTTCCCCTAGTTGAGAGGCTTTCCACGTAAAAAATCTTCTGTCGGTTTTTATTTTTCTGCACTTTATTTCTCTTCCCATATCATGTTTGTTTCCGTAATTTTCTCAACATTTGTTGATTGCAGATGGATAGATGAACAAAAGAGTCTGGCTAATATCCCCCCTGAATCTCCAGTGTAAGTGTTCCGATCTTCTAGGAGGATCTTCCTCTTCCTCTTCCTCTTTGTCTACAATGACATTCGCTTCTAGAGACAAAACTCATTTCATCCTCTATCTTTAGGATGGTTGTCATAATACCGAATCAAAAAGTCCATTTACCAAAGCAAACTGTGAATCATAGACATTTGCTTTTATATTGCCATTGTATATCTGTCATTTTCAGAAAACTACAGAGTATTTTCTTTTATGTGGCTGTTATGGCAAAAAATGAATGTTGAGGCATTATAATATTGGTGTGCATAGGTATCTCTCTTTACGCATGGATGGCCGTGTTCGTGGCAGTGGTGTCGGGTACCCTCCTTGGAATGCTTTAGCTGTTCAACTCCCACTGGTTAAGGGGATGTGGTCCGGCCTGCTCGATGGCATGGATGGAAGTGTTTAAGGAGAAATTAGATTTTACCATGAATCACCACTTGCTGTAAAGAGAATTTACTCTTCTTTTCATGTTTACTTCCCAATCTTTCTTCCTTGATTTTTCTTAAATGCAGTCTGTAGGAGGGCGGGCATTCATATTGTTGTCACTGCATGAAACAAACACCAGGAATCTTTGAATGTGAAGTCACGTGTTTTGAATCTTTGATTGTCCATTTGGATGTTCCACGTGATCTGGGATGTAAAGTAACACGGGATCAAAGGTCTCTAGTTTTAGATATAAATATATAGTATGTATTCATCGCCCTTGATTGTATAATTGTATACAGCTTTACTGCATTTATCCAACACTGATTCTATGAATGTCAATGTCCTTTACTTATGACATCGAGCTTTATGCAAATGTCAATGTCCTTTAATTATGACTATAATTCTATGCAATTCTAACACAAGTTTTTCCTTGGTTCTATGAATGGCAGCATCCGAAGCAGATAGTTGAGACGCATCACGCATGTACCCTCATAGAGACAACATGTTGAATATCTCAGCTCAGTTCACAAATTTGCCATTTGATCAGGTCACACTTAAATTTTGTTGAAATTGTTAAAATGTCTGAATTTGTTGATATTGTGGCGTGGATGATTGGTTGAACTCATTGACCTGAATTATCTAAAATAAACCCTTTCAGTTAAGTGCAGGCAAATTTGTTTATGTCTAAAAAAAGATGGCAAGCTAAACAAACCAAATGGTTCTTATGGACTCTTTCTCTAGTGTCTAAATGTTGACCAGATAGATAAAAGAGAGTATATGAGAAAGAGGTGGAGGCCAACTCTGAGAAGTATGATACACCATTTAGAGTAGAACTAGCCATTAAGCATCCAAATAACAAAATATTACAACAAGACATGAGTTTCATCTCATACGACTTCTTCGACTTCATCCAATGCATAGTTATTGGTCGATACATTTGCATAGTTCACCTTGTTGAACCGCACAACCACCGGGTACCGAGTTTTAGGGTCCTGCACAGAACAATGTGTACTATATATTACTCCATAGTTAAGATCATCAGTTTTTTATTTTCTCAAAAAATGGCAGTGAATGTTGTTCTATGCCCTCTTTTAGTCCTCTTATACCATACTCGGGGTACTTCTCAAGCTAACAGCCCTGCAGATAGATGAGCTTAGTAGAACCTGAAGCCCTACCTGATCGACCGCAACAACTGATCCGACGCCTTTGTACCAGTAAGATTCCTTCCTTAGAATTCTCACCTGCCAATTATAATAAGCTAAGATTGAAGTATACCAAGTCATGCATACCCTTTGTACTCAGGAGGAAGTTTTAAAGATACAATTTGGCCTAACCAAACCTTTAAGCTATGAAGTAATAATCAGCTTATGAAACTGAAACGCCAAAGAAAGTGATTTGTATGAAATTATTTTTCCCTTGGGAAAGGAAAGTGATTCTCATGAGAGAGGTTAGAATAAGATTATACCCCTAAATGGAAGTTTAACCAAAAGTTATGACTTTAACCAAACACATTCATATTTAGCTGAAGAGGGATCCTTTTCAGTTTTCAACAAAATAGAAGAATCTATTTCATGGAATTATCACCTAGGAAAGTAAATCCACGTTTTAAATTACTGGGAAATTGTCAATTCCCATCTTAATTAATTAGAAGGTTTAAATATATATATTTTTTCCACTAAAAACAGGACAGAGCAATGCTCACCTTAGCTCCTCTCTTGGGTCCAATCGCAGGTTTCTTGGCAGCCTTAGCAGCCGGAGCTTCACCGGCGGAGGCAGCGGGCGGTGCAGTCTCATCGGAGGCCCTAAGAACAACAAGCCGCCTGGGGATGGCGGCGTTCTTGGGAGAGAACATCAGCATGCTAGTAGTCTTATGTGTGTTGGTGTTGGGGGTAAGAACATTAGGTGTGACCAACCCTGATGCAGCCCAACTCGCCATGGATTTGCTGTGTCTGTTCTGCAACAAATTGTTTCTGCAGAGAAGAAAGGTATATGAGTCTGGTTATGATTATGTGGAATAATGGCAAGAGTTGTAAGACTTGAGATGCTATGGATTGAATGGATGGATATCTTTTTAGTGGACAACAACCAGTCACGAACAAAAGTGTCATCTGCGTTGACCACTAGGATAGTGCCACATCACTACTATATCCCATTCTTTTTTACTAATGACCCGAGTATATCCATTACAAACAAATGGTAGTCTAGAAATTTGGTAGGAAAATGAAAATGGAATTCAATTGAAATTTGAAATTCTATAAAATTGATTTGGATGAAGTTGAATTCTCCAATTTCACTTTATTTTTGGCATCATCATTTCCAAATCTACATATTTTCATATTACCAAATAGTAGAATTGAAAATGTTGTTTCCAATTCTGTAGTTAAAATTTTGTATACCGAATGGACTCTAGAAGGAAAACTTCATACTCTGTATACTAAACGGAGCCTAAGAGGAAGACATAAGTAAATTACTAAAATAGAAGTTTTATAATTTTTATTCCAAAGTAGGACTATAAGAGTATAATATTAATAATGCCAATACATAGTATCAATCGGCGAAATGGGGTAGGGGTGCTGGGGTGGGACGAGCAGGTAGGGGGTAGGAATTATCAATTTTACGAAACTGTAGGGGTTCCGAGTCATAATTTGACCCGAGGTTCAAGGGTCAAGAGATCCTTGCCAAGTATGTATGTGTGTGCGTGTGTGTGTGTGTATATAATCGTTCACAAATTTAGAACCTTTTCACATTAACTGTAATACTCTTTATGAATATAAACTATAAAAACAAAAAATAGAAAATATAAACACTTATAATTGTAATAATATTTACGGAGTACATTAGTAATTTATGTTCTAAATTTTTGTGCGAGATATTTTAAAAACTTTCTATTTCTTTAGAAAACTTTTTTTTTTCATTTTTACATGTTACTTTTTTTACATGCATCACTTAGAAAAAATAGAGAGATATTTAGTTGACAGGAATCTCACCAAGGCAAATTCGTCTATGGTCCTTAAGTCCACAGTTAGGTTATGAACCTTGATGCATAAAATGATTTTTTGTAGTGGGCTTATAAAAAGAAAGATATTCAATTATAAATCCATTGAAAAAATATGAGAATATCTATATTTTACATGTACACTTTAGAATCTTGTAGCACAACCCATCACCAAAGATTTCCGTGACCCTTTATACTACATCTAGCAAGAAAATGAGTTCTAAGGTTGCTATTGTGCTTAACGAAAGACCAAACCACGAAGAAAATGTTACTTTAATGTTTTTAGTGTTTTAAAAGAGCTTTTTTTTTAAATATTTTCCCATCACAATTTTTAATTTTTTGTTAAAATATCGACAATTCACATGCTTTTTAAAACTCTGTAAAATTGGAGAGCCAAACTTTAAGTTAAAAATTTATTCTAAAAAAAGTCAAACCATAAATTTTGTAACAATAATATAGGGTATTAGGCCCGATTTACACTTAGAGATTATACGGAGTAGTTAATATTTTGAAAAAAGTATCCGTCATTTTTAAGTTTAACATTTTCACATTTAGGGGCGGTTTGTTTCAGCCTCTTAATGGTTCAGATGTCTGAATGGTTCAGCACTTAATAGTTCAGATTATTTATTTCAGCCTCCTAATGATTCAGATATCTGAATGGTTAAATATTTGCCTCTGAATGATTAAGTATTATACATAGTCTGAATGATTAATACTTCTTATCTGAATTGATTTTACATTTACCTCTGAATAGTTAAGCAATATACTAGCACTTAATGGTTTAGACCTCTTACTGGTTCAGCACTTAATGGTTCAGACCTCTTACTAGTTCAGCACTTACCTATTCAAAAGTTGTCAAATAGTCCCTTAAACTATACCATTAGAATTTTATTTAAAAATTAAGGTGTGCTGTTGCTCATAATCATCTCGGAGTACCCTCACCTTTCAGCCGCCTCGGCGCCACCGCCTGCAGCTGGCGACCAGCACTACAATACACAAGTCTCCTACTAGTCCCGCCGTCCAGCGTCAAAAAATACAGTGGGGGAATAGTATGTATGCTAAATAAAAATCGCTAATTTCTGATTTCCAACACTCAGAAGACTTTCTCTGTTGCTCGAGCCAAACCAGCCGGCGAGTGCCCAACGGCCCAGCGGCATTCCGTTTTGTCTCCGTTCGATGGCGGCCCCTATTCCATTCTCCGGCTGCGGCCCCAGTAAGGTACAACATACTCACATAAGCCAGTAAAAAAAATGTTAGATACTCCAGTTTTTAAACGCCTATTTACGTTTTGTGTCTCTTCAATTGTGAATCTGAACTGAAAGTTTCTTGCATTATTAGTTATTACATGTCAATTGATTCGGTTTCCGATTCTTTATTGTGTTTGCACTTATTTTGATCAATGTTTTAGCTTCAATAGTTTAACTGTTGCATCATTTGATTAATGATATGCATTTGAAAACTTTAAGCTTATTTGAAGTTTAAGGCGTGTTTTATGATTATGTAGAAATGTGAAATTCCATCCCAATACCACTATGGGAGGAGTTACATATTAGCCTTTAACATCTCCTTCAAGGGCAACCTAGGTCTTTTTGCTTCAAGTTGTCATTTGCTTGAAAAGACTACTCTTTGAATCTCATTAGCCTTGACCCTTACACCATGTAGAAATGTCTGATTCCATCCCAAAACCAAATTAATTAGCTATGTGAAGAGTATTTCATATTCTTATACATTACAAGTTTTTTTAGCACAAGTGTTCGGTGTGAAATTATATCTTCAACAGATTTTTCATGTGGGATTTTAGCTTTTATAATTTAAATTTAGGGAGATTTTCACAATTTTAGAAACTTGAAAGCTTGAGCATCCTACACTTACACAATCCATGCAAGAAGATAAATGACTGCGTCTTGGCATCCAGAACTCTACTTTGAGCAGCATTTCCAACCCAAAAAATTGGCATTTTGGCCACCCAAATAAACAAACATAGCCACTATCTTTTCGGACTGGTTTAAAGAGACATATATGTGAATTCTAAAATACGAGCAGTGTGGGCATTTTAACTTGAACTGGTTGTGTTTGATGTTTCTTTTCCTGCTTTGTTTTTTTTGGACCATTTATAGCTGCACGGGTAGATGTCGTATTGTCATCTGTAATGAATCGCCTTGTTGCAAATAGACTGGGCAGTGGACTTTCAGGCAACCACAGGCAGCACAAAGACTTCACAGCCAAGTTGGTTTCATTGATTTGTAAAAGGTGTAGGTCTTTTTTCTGTAAACATTATTACTTGAGTTTGATTGTGCAGCATCGGGAACATGGTATTTTATTTTTATATGACTAGGTGTCTACTACGCTCTTTGTCCCAATTTCTCATGCATGTTTTTCTGTTTGGTATGTCTCAATTTATCTTGCATATTTTCATTTTTAGAAAGCATTGTGATTTTATATTTATATCATATTAAATTAGTTGAAACTTGAAACATTTAATGTTTACACATAAAAGGTAAGCATTGTGCATTATGATCATTTCCATTTCATTAAAATTTGAACTCTAGAGTTCTAAAATATTTTTTTTAATTACATTGTAATAATGTTTTATTAAATTTAGCATTTTTATGTGTGCGATAAGTTAATTAAAATGAAACTATTATTTAGGTTATGGAAAAAACCTAAAAAATTATCTACCCAAATGAAATTATTTTCTTCTTGTGTTAACTTGGCACGGTTTTTAAGAAAAGCGGAATTGCGTGATTGCATTTTATTTAGAAGTAAGAGAAGAAATTTCCTTAAAGGGAATTGAGAAGTTACTCAGTTAGTTTAAGGACAACCCAAAAAGTAAAGTGAGAAGAATTTTTATTTGTGTGTGTGTGTGTGGGTTTGTGTGGAGGGGGGTGGTGTAAAAAACTCAACTCAAACGGTGGTGGATGTAGGGTCTCAAAACCTTTTGGATCTCCCACATTTCCATCTCTTCATATGGGGTTCTTGTTGTTGTTGCTTGTTGAATTCATATGTTGGAAGCCCTGTGGCTTGTACAATTTTGTTACGGAGTATTTAGTACTAATCATGTTAACGAATGCTTTTGAACTGTCTCTATTGAAGGTGTTGTTTAAGAAATCCTTTAATTTACAGGGGAGAGGATTGCAAAACCATGAGTGCGTTTACTACATTATCTAGTTTCTCCACACTCTGTAACTCGTGTCAGATTAGGCGTACACTAAGACAGGAGATAAGACCCTTCTCAAGTGCTACCGCACAGAGATTTGAGGAACACTGTGCTGCATGGCGAGCTGCGACTGAGGCAATCAAACAAGACAGAAAATGCAATGGTAGTTACTTGAGCGTTGCCCATTTTCAAGTTACTCCAGATATAAACTTTGCCAAATACAATAATATCGAGATTAGCGACATCCATCAAACACCTCCTGGTAATGTACAATTTAGAAACTGTTTTGCACAACCATCAGTGTGCAACGTACAGAGGGGAATGCATAATGCGGGAGCTTCAACACAATCTCCATTCCTATTGCCAAATGTTATTCAACCTATTGAGTTGGCAACCGAAATCAAAGAAAATAAATTGGAGAAAACTTTTAAGCAAGATGGAAGCATTCCAACTCCGGATATGGAAATCAACTATGCTGTTTTGGGTGGACCTAATCGGCTTCAATCTGTGAACAGTACTGCTACAGAAAATTGCACTGCCAAGGCCAACCTTTATGAGAGGCATCCTATTGAGTTGTTGGAGACCAAAATTGAAGAAAATAAGTTGGATAAAATTCTTAAGCAAGAGGAAGGCATTCCAACTTCGGATACGGAAAGCAACTCTGCTGTTTTGGGTGGACCTAGCCAGATTCAGCGTGCAAACAGTACTGCCATAGAAAGGAGCACTGCCAAGGCCAACCTTCGTGAGAGGCAACCTATTGAGTTGTTGGAGACTAAAATTGAAGATAATAAGTTGGAGAAAACTTTTAAACAAGTGGAAGGCATTCCAATTCCCGGTACGGAAAGCAACTATGCTGTTTTGGGTGGACCTTGCCAGATTCAGCCTGCAAACAGTACTGCCAAAGAAAAGAGCACTGCCAAGGCCAACCTTCGTGAGAGGCTGGAGTCCATCTATGAGAAAGTTCTCATTGTCAACAATATCTCACTGGCCAAGGAAGTTGTTAGTAAGCTTACAAATGAGTACAGGGATTTAGTCCACGCATGTGATACAGAGGCATGTCTTGCTTCTGTTACATCAATGTTTCCTCTCAAGTTTTTATGGTGCTAAATAGCAAAATAAACACTGTTTTGTAGAAAGACAAGCTTTATCCTGGTGCAATTGATTATCTTTTGAGTCATTTAGTAAATGAAGAAAAAGAAAACCATAATATGAACCGTTTCTGAGCTAATTCAATAGTTCACTAACAATGAATAGGTAGCCAGGATTGATGTCAAGCATGACACACCGGTTGGTCATGGAGAAATCATATGCTTCAGTATTTATTCTGGCCCACACGCTGAATTTGGAGATGGGAAATCTTGTGTATGGATTGATGTTCTTGATGGCGGCGGGAAGGATATTTTAGTAGAATTTGCCCCATTTTTTGAAGACCCGTCTATTAAAAAGGTAAACTTGAATTGTTTTATTGGAGGTTTCTGTATTTTGTCTTGTTTTTTTGGTAACCTTAACATAAGTAGGGATATCTTTTCCCTTATGGTACCGCCTTTCATAGGTATGGCACAACTATAGCTTTGATTGCCACATCATAGAGAACTATGGACTCAAAATGGCTGGGTTTCATGCCGATACAATGCACATGGCTCGATTATGGGATTCCTCAAGACTAAGAGAGGGAGGTTATTCTCTCGAGGCACTTACAGGGGATACCTCTGTCATGTGTGATGCAAGTGTGGCCCCTGGTGAAGAGCTGTTTGGTAAGGTGTCAATGAAAACTATTTTTGGTAGGAAAAAACTGAAGAAAGATGGAACCCAGGGTAAGGTTGACATTATTCCATCTGTTGAGGAGTTGCAAAGAGAGGATCGCAAATTATGGATTTCTTACTCTGCCTTAGATTCCATAAGCACTTTGATGCTTTATGATAGTTTGAAAACCAAACTCTCTAA